CATTTTGACCATTTCGTTGTGTAAAAAAATGCAAGATAAAGTGACTGAACATTTTAAATATATACATCCGTGTCTCAAAAACGCGTAATTGTAAAATATATATTACCATATACTATAATGAGTTTTAGAAAACACTTCATATCTTTCTCATAATAATGACAACACAAATTAGTATATTTTGGAAATTGGATAAAATTAATACTAAATTGAATCTGGAATTGTGGGTATTGGAAATGGCAAACCACGGAAAATGCCCGGATGAGTCTGACCATTTTAGATATCTTTCTTATATGGTATCTCTCAACACACTGTCGTGTCAGACCTGGTATGTAATGTTGACCGGAACTCATTTTCGAGGCTAACTACATAAATCAGCTTCATGACATTGCAATAAATAACAGTGAGAAAGTAAATATAGCTAACTGGACTGGACTGTGATGTGGAAGTCTGGTGTGTGCTGCCACAAAATAATCCCTGAATATTTATTGTATATATCAGCATAAATCAGGTAATGTGAATATTCGAAATGTTAAACCACAGAAAATGCCCGGATGTGTCTGACCTTTTGTATATAATCAATGTAAACACATTTCGTCAATATTTGTTATTTATTAATTGTTCAAAGGACTGGAACTTAAAGTATGAATATAGATCAGTTTTAGCCATTGCTGTAAATGTCTTGTTATATTAAATGTCTCTAGTCTATGAATATAAACATATAACTATATAAATAAGTGATGTCATTCTTTCAGCTACTCATGTATCAGAAAATAATAAGTTTCAGGCAATAAAAAATACTTTTTTATCATTCTCGTAAATAATGACTACACAAATTAGTACATTTGGAAATTGCATTACGTCACAATATATTAACATTCATGGAAAGTGTGTCATAGCTGATTTTTTGTATAAAATCATGCAGTCTTTTCATCAGAAATTCACAAAATTCACAGATCTATAGTCTGCACATTCTATCAGACGATTTGGACAAAAATAGCCAAACGTTTTGAGTAAAAACTGAAAATTTAGTAAATGTCTATTGCCTCCAAAATTAGGGTTCATTTCCAGAAATATTGATGAATATAAGAAACAAGTGCAGAAAAATATATGCGGAAAAGTTTGGTGTTGAAAAAGCTAATATATTTCACTGCTTTTTATTAATTTGGGTCAATGATTTTATTATCATTTTGAGTTTCACAATGATATAATCGCTTGGTTTAAGTTTGGAAGACAAACCTAACTTAATAACTAAAAACGGTATTTTACTGATTAGTACCCCTTTCTGAATATGCCATGTGAATAACTTTGAGTTATAAATATTTGTTCATTGCCGGAATGACCAATGATTAATAGACTGATCTTTGCATCAAAATACAAACCGTTCTTTTAAATTTCATGATAATCCGCCTGTAACTTGGTGAGTTATTAATGACGAATCTTTTCCAGAATTGTTGTTTGCATGGTAAGCCTACCCATATCTGTGCCAAATTTTAATGGGTTCGTCATTGTGTCATGGGCAATCTCTGCAGGGTACAAAAAATATGTCTGAGAAATTTCGAAAACTTTTTGTATTGGTTTGTAGTTTATAAACGGCAAGTATTTTGTTTTAATATGTATGGGATCAGGATAGCATAGTGCGAGGTCGTGGTCGGTTACTGGCACCGGGTTGTTGGGCGGTTCATTACAGTGCTACCCCCACGCAACATTATACTCATTATTGTTTAAATATTGAGTTCACATCTAACAACAGTTACCATGAACGGCTGTACTAATTTGTCTCATTACCAAACCTAGTTAGTTAATTGACATAACATGTGCACTTACCCTAGTATGTCGTTGGAAGGTAGTCTTCACAAATTAAATTGCTATGTATTTGAAGAAAAGTGAGTGCTGCAGTCATTTCATTAAAATTAACCCATTGTATTTCATCACTCAGCGAGGAGTTTGATTTTGAGTTTTTACGGACCATACATTTCCACTGGAAACTGTAAAAGGGGTGTTTATTTTAAGGGGTCATCATAGATATCTTTATACAAGGCCGTAGGAAGCAAAAATTAGTTGGTCCGGCCATCCATCGAGGGCTGTAGGCCCGAGGCGTATGATGACGTGGGCCGAAAAACCACGTCTGCTAGGGGGGACGTGCAGAAGTGGTCCGGCCATAGCCGGTATGGCCGGTACGGTTCCTACGGCCTTGTTATATGGTGTCTAGATCTGCCAAGGTGTATTGAACATTAACATTAAACGGGAATATAATCTGTTTTATGTCTATAACACGTGGTACCTGTTAATATGTTTGAAATAATTTTAATAAATGATCGGCACCATTTTTCACATATCAGTTATTACTTCAAGAAGAACTCTCGATACACCATTATGAACCATTGACATGGTAAAAATATACGTAGAAACATTTTTTAGAACAGAATTAATTTATGTCAATTATTATAAGACTATTGTGATGGAAATCGAAAAACGATTGGCCACCGGATGCACCTAAGTGGGGCATTAATTTCAAAAGTGTAAATGTTTGTTTTGTTGCAATAACTAAAACAGCAAAATGTTGGTGTTTTTAATAACCTTTGCAAAATTGAAATGTTCGTTATCGCATGATACAATAGAATAAACGAATGACCACCATAAAAGTACACTATTGTATCATATCACAGTATCGAAACTATCACCAATCGATAATATGTCTAAACACTCGCCATAGCGAGAACTGTGACAAAAAACATGTTCGTTTCTAAGAAGTGTTCTACATGTCCATAAGCACAGTCAGAAATGCCTACTCAAGTGACGTCATATTGTTTTCGTTCGAACTGATCGTATCGCTTTTTATTTGTAATATCATCACACGTTTTCAACATAAAATAGGATAAAATGCTCCAGAAACATTATTACAAAGACAAAAGACTGGCCTACGGTTAAAATTATCATGGCTCATGCTTTGAAGGTTAGTGGCAGAAATAAAAAAAAGCATTGAAGAAATTGCCCCTAGACTTGAGATGCCTTGGCTATGGACGCAAAACTTAGATTCAGCCAAATTTGTTTAAAACGCAAGAAATTGATTCGTTCGGTGTAATATTTGTAAAGAGTACAAGCACGAGTAGTA